TTTTTATTTACCTACTGGTATCTCTGTGAGCCCAAAGGGATGTTATGTGTGAACCTATATCCAACATTGTCAACAAACCGGTCGTTTCCATACCCCGTCCAATATGAGTGCAAAAAATATCATCCCTCAATATCTCGTCCGGTATAAGGGTGAATTAGTTCGTCCCCATACCTGTCCGGTATAAGCACTAAAAATATCATTCATCGATACCCCGTCCGATATGAGCCAACGTTCACGGTAGGATTTTCTATGTATCCAATATGTCCACCATCTGCCAGAATATCCAGTAAAGCTATCATTCATTAATTCACATGATCAAATAATTTTATGTTTACATATTAATTACAAATTTCACAAATCAATCGTAAATCATGCAAGACAAGCAATATATATATCAAGGAAGCACAATTAAATTATTTAACTATTCTAGTATATCATCATGTATTTAAAGCTGTAAATTCAATAATCAGTTAAATAGGACAATAAATAAATGACTAACCGATTTTCGGCTCTATTGATAATTAGTAATTATTCTCAAAATTTTCTAAATTACACAAAATACGATATTACCAATTATTAAACTTTAATTCTATAACAGAGAATTATGTGAGAGATTCTTACCCGAATCGGTGTTCGAAACAGTGAACTTTCTACTGCACCTAATGGCGAACCCTGAATGTTTTGAATTTTCCTGCGAAGATTAAAACACGCTTCGCGTACCTAAAAAATATCTTAAAAAATTCAAAATCGGTGTTAAAAATCTTTTCCAGCTAATTTTAAAATTTTAGCACAATGACACTGTCGTGCTTTGACAACGGCACCGGCGCCCGCGGTGGTAGTTTGCCTCAACCTCGCTGTTTTCGATTAGTTTTGCCCTGTTTCGACCGGTTTTATACTCATCACTGCGAGAAAACACGTTAGGGGCCTTGGTTAGCCCAAAAAAGTCAAAACACGAAAACCTACCAGTGGTGAGATTTTCTAGTACGGCGGCTCTGCCGGTTCACCTTCGCGGCTGGCCATTTTTCTTCGGTCAACCTGTATAAAATAGAACAGTGAACACAATGGTAAAAAAATTGAACAAAATAGGAAATGAAAAAGGGCTCATCGGATGAGGTTTTGGGTTTTGCTCGCGATAGCGTTGTTGGACTTTGCTTACAATTTTCGGCTCACCTGCCATTCATTTTGCTCTGATTTTTTCATGGGCATGCTTGGAATTAAATTTCAAGCGGATAGGAGAATTTTTACCTTTTTTGGCGGTCGCAGGTGGCTCCGGCGTGGCAGTCGGCTCCCTTTTTCGGCGACTGGTTCTTCTTCTCCGGTCGGAGGTTAGCGGCTAGAGTTTAGGTTCGATTTGGTGTAAAATATTTATACCTGTCTCGCTTAAATTTGGACCGTTCGCATTTGATCTCGACCGTCTGATCGTATTTAAAGAGAAAATAAATCTGGATTATTCATCGCGATTTGATCTCGACCATCCGATCACGTTTAAAGAGGAAATGAATTTGGACTGTTCATTGTATTTAATCGCGACCGTCCGATCACGCCTGATAAGGGAACGGATTTGTACCGTCCACACACGCGTGGATCGCCAGCGTGGCCTCCCACGTGGCATCATTTAGCGTGCCTTGCCACGCTGCACGCTCCGGTTCATCGGGGCTGTTGACTGGGCAGTCCTACATGGTGCAATTTTTTTTAATTGTATTCTGACCTCCAGTTTTTGATTTTTCTTTCAAAAACACTATCCGAACCAAAATTTTCACTCCTTTTTATCAAAATTGTTTTCAATTTCATTCTCAACCTATTTTGTTTTTCCATAATTCACATCAAATTAAATTTTATTAATTTTAAAATTAGATTTTCATACATTTTTAAAATTTTAAAATTAGTCTCGGGCCAAATTCTTGGCCTGGGTATTACAACTCCCCCCCCCCTAAAAGAAATTTGGTACCTCAAATTTGTCTCTCTCTCACTTAATCAAACAATTGGGAATACTAGACTCTGAAGTCTTATTCTAGCTCTCATATTGCCTCTCTTTGTGTGTGATTCTGCTATAGGACCTTAACGAAAGAAATTTTTCGGTTGCGGAGTACTCTACTCTTTCAGTCCACAATGCCCATCGGTACCTCCTCATAGGACATATTCTTCTGGAGTGAAAGGGGCTCGTGGCCTAAGATGTTAGAAGGGTTTAAGTTGTACTTGCGTAGCATGGATACAAGAAACACATTATGAACTCTAGATAGTTCTGGAGGTAGTGTCAGTCTGTAGGCGGCAGTA